TACAGGAATGCGCCACCATGCCCAGTTTTGGTGGTCAAGTTGGTGCAGGGCCACCACAGCGTGTGGTACTGGGGATCGAACCTCGGTCCTTACACTTGGCAGGCAGGTGCTTAGAACACTGAGCTCTCTCCCCAGCTCTACATCAGTTTTTGTAAGGCCTTAAGTTGCAGATAGCTATCATCTCTTCCAAACATCAGTAACTGTCTCATCTCAGCCACTACAAGGTCAGTCCTGTCAGTTACCTCTGGAAGAAGTGCTGTTCTTTCTAGAGAGCTTTGAAAGCACTGCTATCCTATTTTGGAGGTGCAAACTTGATCCGCAGGCCCCAGTTGGATCCACTTGTCCCATGCCCGGAGGCACTGCTCATGATGTTCCTCCAACCTCTTGCTTCAAATCAGATAGGGAAACCTGGGACCCACAAGGGCCCACTCAAGTTGACTTCTTTCCTACCTCTTAACATCTTTTTGAGGGAGGCCATGACCCGCCAGGGGCTGGAGGCTGAGGTCAAAAGCTCTCGGGCTGCACTAAAAAGGCTGCCCACTAAGAGCCGGGCTAGAGATCCGAGTTCGGACGCGGCCTTGGTTCCTCTTCACGGCTGCCCTGCACAGCCAAGCTCTGGGCCGCGCTCCCTGCCCTGCTCTCCTGGCACATGTCCCGGGCACAGCACGTCGGCTCCCTGCTCGGGACCCTCTCCCAGCTCCAACTCCGGTCACCCTCGGTCGACCCGGCCTCCTACCCTCCTTACTGGCCTCGAACACGGTACCCGGGCTCTGGGCCCGGTCCCCGCGCCCCCTCGCTCCGTCCCTCACCGGGACGAGAGATGCCTCTGCGTCGTCGCAGCCGCCGCAGGTGGGAAGGCCGGTGCTGTCCCCGCGGCACAGAGCGGCCTTGATCCTCGGGCAGCGGTCAGCGACCGGGACCACCAGCGGCTGCCTACGGCCAGGGCCCGCCGGGCCACACAAGCAGCCATGTCCGGGCCGAGCGCCCGCCGGGGTGCCGACACAGGGCCCGACCCGCGGCCGGGCGGCGCCCCGC